TCAGCATGAACAGATTCTTCAGCAGCCGAGCGTCGTCCTCTCTGTCCAGGTCCGCCAGAGGGCGCTGCTGTCGCAGGGGAGCATCTGGGTCCTGTATGTACGAAAGATTATTTTGCATTTCGAATTTTGTTTTTGCTTCACAAACAAAAAGATTATTTTGCTTTTCGAATTTTGTTTTTGCTTCACAAAAAAAAAATCACAAATATTTGAAATTCTTAATACAAAGAACAGGATATTTGTTGTTGTTTGTTTAAAATATAACTGACCAGCTCAGTGACCAGAGGAACAGTGAAGGCCGTGCCGCTCTTCCTCCTCATTTTTAGAGCATGAAGTGTGTTTTCCCTAAGACACAAGGAAAACAAACTTACATACAAGCCTGAATGAATTAGGACAACTTGTGAAAATCAACAAAACAAACACGTGAACTCACCAGCAGACATTTTTGGCGTAGTATTCTATGTTGTCAGAGAAATCTCCAATCTGATCCCTGGCGATGCACTCCAGCCAATCAACGACCAGCTGTTACATGTTTGAAACAGACCATCAGTTAATTATCTGATAAATCAAAACAGCAAAAATAATGAACATGTGTGATATATGTGACCTGACTGTGACGTATGACAGCATCCTTCTGAAAGAGCTGCTCCACGACTATCTTCTCACTCTCGTTTGGAGCCTAAAAAAAAAAAAAGTTCAATTCTCAGGCTCTCCTTGAACAACCAAAACTTTATTCTGCACAAACATGGCTGTAGTTTTAAATCACTAAAATAACAGTCCTCTTGTCAGTATAGTGTAATTTATGTACGAATCAAAGACTTATCCTGGGTGGTTCTAATGAAATCCTGGCCTAAAATTGTTGCTGAGAATTAGAGAGAATGGTGTTGCCTAGAATAGGAAACATTAGCATGTTTTGCTAGTAACAGAGAAGCCATGATGACTAAACAAACATTACTTCATGAACCTAAATACACATTATTTACACCTCTTTTTCTTTAAAAACATTATCAAACACTTTTTTAAATGTGGAAAACGAGCTGGACATGTAATGATGGGAGATCTCTCTTTTTTCAATATTATTATACATGTAAATCGTAATGATGGGAGATCTCTCTTTTTTCATTATTATTATTATACATGTAAATTAAATTAGTAATTTTTCAAAAAATCCATTAATTTTTTCTAGGATGTATTTGTTTTAATCTGTTAAAAACAGAAACATAACTTTTGTCATAAAATGCAATAAAACGTAAATAAAATAGTTTCTATATTGAAATTGCTCTTTGGTCCATACAGAGAGAATTATTAGATTTGTTTATTATGTTTTGTTATTTTAGTATAATGCATGTTTTGTTACTAAGATCATTACTGCCATGGTGAACTAATGATTTCATGAGAATGACCCAATTAATATGAAAAGGGACCGTTTTTCTCAAAGAGACAACTGGACTTTGTGTTGTTGTAGGAGGAATGATGACCCTGAGTCGACCTCTGTTGAGAGATTCAAAAGGACAAGTATATTTTTGTTGTTGCTGTGACTCACCACAATGTCTGCCATGAGGTCGTCCTCCAGCGACAACTGCACTCTGTCTCTGTAGAAAAACAATAAAATAGGATCTGTCAATGACCAAGAGTAAAAAAAAAAAAAAAATTGTTTTTTTGCTCATTCGGCACATTTTTGGCAGGCTTTCAGTGTTTATATCAGCAGTTGATCATGGTTGAAATGAATAATGCATGCACCAAATAGCGAGAGGGTTAGTGATCAGAAAGAAGACGAAAGGACAAGTACTTATAAAGGGTGTTGATGAGTCTCCACGTGTTGCTCTCCTGCTGCAGCAGCCACCGCACTCCTGCAGTTTTACTGTTCTGGCCTGCTCTGAGAACCACAGACTGCAGCACGTCCACCTTAAAATTGACAAAACCAACAAGTTTAGATGCGATAGTAAAAGTGAGCTAACTGTGTCTAGCATATCGACTCTTGATAAAAGAGGCCACTGGGAATATCAAACCTTTTCCTGGCAAAGTGTCTGAAAATCCTCCAGCAGCTCAAACACAGCGGATGAGGAGTGTTTCAAAAAAGATGCTAGGAACTCTGGGAAAAGACTGGCAGCAGCTGCAGGGGGAAAATTATTGACTAAGTACAAAAGTTGCTTTAAAGACCAGTGTAATTGTTTGCTATGCTATGGTTTGTTTCACTCACCCGACTCTCCTGGATCGTCCTCCTTCAGGAGAGCAGAGCTGCAGTTGGCGATGTCTTCTGTGTAGAAGCTGGTATTTTCCAGGCCTGACACTGGGGAGGTGTACATGCTATTGGTCCAGTCACTGTCATCCAGGTTCTACACAAGGTCCACCCAAGAAAAATTATATGCACGATACAGGTTCTATATTATGCAGGAAATACTATTATCTCCTGTATGTAGTCAAACTAGAAATAACATTAAAAATGCTTGTGTGTTTTGTGACTTACCAAACTACTCAGTGCATTCCTGGGTGTGTGTGTGTATCGAGGAGTTCGAGCATCTGGAGCCAAAATTGAGGAAACATCCGGAACTCTGGGAGTTACTGAGACAATCAATAATAAGTGGTAAGTTTTAATTACAGGCACTTGGGAAAATGACCTGCATGTTTATGTCATACCAGCCTGTCTGAAGAGTGAAGCAGGAGTCGCCCTCAGCAGAGGGCGAGCAGGAGTTACTGTAGACCTGACTGGACTGCCACCACCTGGTGACGGAACTGAGAATGTAGTCAAGAAAATAAGACTGACAGAAAATATTTGATGGCAAGTGATGAAAAAGACAGACACAGTTGTACTACATTCAATTCTTTGTAAATGGATGTTGTTATTAGAAAACGGTTTAGTATTAGACAGTTAATGGCTGTTAATATAAATAAAATTCATATTACATATTATTAACATTTGTAAAGCTAGTGTTTACACTCCTTTTTAACAACACAAATGTTAGCATTTTAACATCTCCATGCATTAACTGTAGACTCTAGAGTCTCTCTAGAGTAATAATGTTAGCTTTAACTAAGAGAGTAAACAAAGCCATTACATTCACATGTTAGCATTAAAGCATTATGGGAAACTTAATACCGTATAGGTAGTTATCAACTAAACAACTGTGACTAAAACAGATTAGTCTGATAAAAAAGAGCCATCACAATAGATAAAAACTTTATAATACACTGTTTGTTTTTACACCTTAAATGTAGCTAGTCTGTACTGATAGAGAGTTCTTTTGTTTAATCCCATAATCTGTGACAGGAAGGATACAGGCCACCTTTTTTCTCCTGCGGGCTGCAACTGTCACCTCATCGTCTCGAACCACAGGAGACGGCAGCTCACTCACACCCCTGATCACCCGAAAGAAAAACACAAAAGCTTAACCATAATCACATATGGATCATATTCATAACATTAGTAACATTATTCCTTCAAATGGTTTATTATTTCCACATTATTAACTAGCACTTTTTTAAAAGTACTGCAGTGTTGATCACAATGACAGTTACATTTAAATAGGATCAACAAGACAGAGAAAAGAAAATGGGGGACATATAGAAAGATAATATTTACAGTATAGAACTGATGAAGCCTCTTGGATGAGAGGCGAATGTCTGTCTGTAGTGATTGCACAGACCGGATTTGTTACGTGTTTTATTCTCATCATTCATGGTGTACTCTTACAACTTCGTTATCAGTAAAAGTTAAAACAAACTTGTAAGTGTTTTATGGCGGACTTACAGTATAACTACAGTGAGTTAAAAACGAATTGGTTTAACTAGATTCAACTAGTTGTAGGTGGATGTTGTCAACAAATAATAGTTTAGTATTACACGTACAGTAAACAGCTACGTATATGTGTATTTCTTTTAGTTCTCTACAAATTTACTTAAATTCAGTAAATTACATTACAAAGTATTTACATTCGTAAATATGTTGTTTACACAGTAAAGTACAAGAATCATTAACGTTAGCAATATAGCATCTCCTTGTATTGACTGTTGACGCTTTTAGCTTCAGCTATGAGAGTAAACTAAGCCGATACCAACACGCAGTTGCATATACAGCAAACTCTCGGACGCTTAGTAAATATCATTGTGACCAAATTCGTTTTAAAAAGTCCAAAGTGCTTATATTACCATTCCATGTCAGCAAAGCTGTCTGTTCCCGCTTCACGAGGGTTTCACAGCTCCAACTTCTTCTTCGCGTTTCTTTTTAACTCTTCTTTTTGATTTTCTACAGCCATCTATCCCTAGTGGGGCACTACTGCCCCCTAACGTCATATACAACCGTCATATTATTGTATAATGTTTTTAAAACACCATACATAAAAATGATAAACGTATTGAAAATAATAACAAAATAACAGTGCGAACCATTGATTGTCAGAAAGAGTAAATGATTCACACGTTTAAAGCAGCATAGAATTAAAACATTCTTCTGTACAGTACAATATTTTAGATAAAACATACTTAATGTACTGCACTTTCTGCATGTTTATGAAGCATTAAGAGGAAAAGCGTTAATCCTTGAGATGAACGTTAACCATAATGTCAGTGATTTAATTAAGTTATAAGAATTATAAAAAGAAATACGCGTAAAGGAGATTATTGAAAAGAGAAAGAACAAAAAGCAGACCTGGCTTATACTTATTGAAAAGAGAAAGAACAAAAAGCAAAAGACCTGGCTTATAAATTTCACTTCCCCAATCAAATTAGTTAATAAAGTTAACAAGTTACCAGTGAGACTTTGAATTAAATGAAAAACCACATTTCACATTGTTTTATTCTGTTTTTCTTGTAAAAGGAAAGCATAAATAAATTATGACAAAAAGTTTGTCATAACATAATGTCATATCGTTGCATTTTAGTGTGCCGCGTAGATCATGATGTAAGCAACACGTTCTTGCACATTGTCAGATTTTTCTCGATGTGGCCCTAATTATGAAACTTAAAAAAATGCATTGCTATCCTGGAATCTAGTATAACAATAAAAAATATTTACAGTGAATTTTATAAAATGCCATTTCGTGCAATATTGTGAAACCCTCACATAGATTGATACATCAAAATAATGAGAAAGCAAGAATTGTGTTGTTGTCTTTCAAATAACAGGATTATTAATTACTGTGTGACGTCCGTATTCGGCCAGTAGAGGCGCTTCGAAACAAGTGTCAACAAAGCCACATTTTAGCAGCATCACATGTGGAACGGATAGGAAAACGTATGAAAAGTATCTGAGGATTTCAATTCAATCTACGCGAGAGCATCTGCAAAGGTGCGTAAAGACCGGGTTTGTTTTTTGAAACTTAAACCCTAAATTACGTCTTTTAAATAAAAGCGACGGCGCTGTAGTCTGTGGTAAACATTATGCTAACAGGCCTCGGGGCCTCGGGTTTTCCTGAGTAAATGGACCAGCGCTACGAAGGAGAAACACTGCACTCACTCTAAACTTGACGTCAACGTATATGTGAGCAAATATGTGATGCGTAGCAAAAAAAGGAGTCAGATAATTTTAAAGACTTAATATGGTTAAAGTTGTGCTTGTTATTCGATATTGTATTTATATCGCGAATTGTTGTACTACATAGTTACACTTAGTTTCTGGTTGGGTTTTTTTGGGGGCGAGCTTTTTTTCTTCTTCTTCTAAACAATAGCTAATTGTTACTTCATTTTCATTTACTACAGGGGGAAATGTTTAACTTTTTTCCACTGCACATGCACACGTAAGCTTTTCTGGTGAGTGAGAGGCAGAGATAGTATATGTATATAGGAGAGCGCAAGAGCGGGACATGTCCGGGCATATTCTTCTCAGTTCGTTCTAGAACCGCCCATTAACTGACGTTACGCCTCCTCTTGGAGTTCGCGTGTTTCTACAGTTGCCCTGGAAAAAGTGAAGCGGTAAATGTCTAGACACAACCATAAATAATAACCAAAGAACCAAGTTGAGGCTTATCCCGAACAGTATTATGTTGACGATGTTTTAACGTAATGTATGTAACAAAGGTGATTTTGTGTCAGTTATCATTTAGTTTAGTTTAGTTCAATTCAAGTTCTATTTTAACTCATTTAGTTTAGTTTAGTTCAATTCAATTTCTAGTTTAGAATACGGTTGTAATTTGACAAACAGACGGGTCACTGTGAGCTATTTAAAAAAGGTATAGTTTAACACCCTGAAAATGATATTACATTTTAATACATTCAATACATTTTAATGTTGACCATGGACTTAGGTATTGGGTTTGTTTTTTTAACAATGTTGGAACCTGAAATTTTGAATATATCAGGCTGATAGCAAGTATTGTATCAACCCATTCCTAATTCTAATATGCTTGAACATGCAAAGAGATGCATATTGATAAACTACTTGCATGTTCATCACAGGTGAACATGGACTTGTGATTAAAAATCTTGGACTTTTAGCACACGTGCTAGCCATTGGAAAAGCTGATAATGATAAATTGAGACAGACTAAGAAAGACTTGAATGTTTCTGTCATCACCTGTAGACATATTGTCTAGAATCCTCACTGACAGTGAGAGTGTTGAAGCCTAGAGTTTTCCAGCAGTGTCATGGTGACACTGGTTACCACTCTTGAGTGGTAACCACTGGTGGTCGTTAGTCACACAGAGGTGATGAGTCACAGTGGACTAGTCTCAGCATGTCTACTACAGAGAACGCACCCCCCCACACACACACACACACAGTGTGATTGAATCAGCTGGTACAGTCAGTTTACACACATGCAGCAGCTGCTGACTCACAGATACGCCTCACTGCTACGTTGGGGCTGACCAGGAGTCAGTCTGAAACTTCAACTCCTGGTCTAGTCCTGACATGTTTCAGCTGCTCTATAATAAGAACCTGGAATCTCTGTTCTGTTCTGACTGCACTTTATCCGCGTTTACTTGCACAGGATGAGCTGCTTCTGCTGAAAGATCTCCCCAAGAAAACTGGTAAATATGAATTTCTTTATTTGACTATATTCACATCTTTGGTTATTTCTTCTGTTCTTTTACCAACACCTGATGAATGTTGTGGTTTTAATATTGTGTTTCTCTGTCACTTGTAAACACCTTGAATACATTTTATGTGAACTAGACAGTTAAAAAACACTTCATTAGTTTTTTTTTAAAGGTTTTAATACCTCAGTGGTTTGATTTAAGATTAGCATGAAATTCCTATTATAGTCAGTTTTTGGGTGACAAATTATAATAGATTAAATGTTACATAGATTTTTTTAGCATGACATCTACTCATTATTGTTATTATATAAATCTCATGTCTATGCACAGGAATAATACAAATCACAATGTCAGCAGAAGGGCTACGCACTGACACTCAAGATGAAGACAAACTGGTGAGACTGACTCCTGAGCCTTCATCGACTGTCCATTCGCTGACCTTTTATTCAAAGCGATTGCTTTACTTGATTTCAGGTGAGACCAAAGTTGGAGTTTCACTCCCTGCTGCAGGATGCAGGAGCCACCAAAGATCTGCTCACGATGAAGGAGGTACAGCAGCAAAACTTTATCCATTCAGAAAAAAGAGTCAAAGTTACTGCTGTTTATTGGGGTTGTGTATTGGCAAGATTCTGGCGATATGATACTTATCACAATACAGGGGCAACTATACATATTGTGATATACTGTGATACAGTAGGAACAACAATATACCAAGTTTTCTTTTAACAATTAAATTGTAAGAAAACTTTGACAGTAAACACACAATGCTGTTACATGCTTAGTACCAGGTTACTAAAAATCTTTAAAATTCTTTAAATTAAAATATCCATGCAGTGCTGTAGAATATTGATATAGAACTATGGCTGTGGTTCTTAACATTTGGTTCCTTCAGGTGATGTTTTACCTGGGTCAGTATATCATCCAGAAGAAGCTTTATGATCAGAGTCAGCAGCACATCGTCCACTGCGCCCAGGATGAACTGGGCCGAGTGCTGGGCGTCGACAGCTTCTCTGTGAAAGAACCACGGTGAGAAGAGAAATCCTCTTTAAACTTTTAATGGTTGGACAGGATTAGTAAATTGTAGTTTAGTGATTGAAAATTAAAAACCAACGTTCTTACAAAGGCATTTCTGTTTCAGAGTTTTGTTTGCAATGATCACAAAAAACCTGGAGACTGTGAGAGAAGGTACAGCCGCTTCAAATCTTCCTTGTTTTTTTCTCCAACTAATCTGGAAATGTGAATTAACTAAACTCAACTTTTTTTATGTCTTTGTGAAGATGTGCCATCTAGTGTTGGAGAAGGACACAGCCAAAATCAGACTAACACAGAGGTGAGACAAACCACTTTAGTCTGGTGTCAAAATGATGATTTTTGTCATTTTTAAATGACTAATGAAAGCGTTCTTATAATTGGAAAAACAAAAACTAAAGTAAACGTCCTTTGACTTCTTTTTATGTTTTTAGGAAGCCGATTCAGAAAGTCGCTCTTCTTCGCCAGACAGGAGAAGACGGCGGAGGAGGAGGAGAAGGAGACACAGGAGCTGCAGAAGCAGTGATGCAGGTGAATAACGCAGTTCATCCTCCTCGTTCTCATCGTAAACCTGTCCGTTTATGTGGTGATTGAAACCCCTCCCCCTTTGTAATTTAGGCCCCTCCCACAGTGTCCAGGAGGAGGAAAATGAAGGAGAAACAGAGGATGAAGAGGAGGAGGACGATCGAAGGAAGAGGAGGAGGTCAGACAGCTACTCCTTGACCTTTGATGAAAGCTTGTCCTGGTGTGTGATTGGTGGACTGGGGAGAGTGCGGGATTTACAGAGCAGCCAATCATCAGACACGCACAGCACGGTGAGGATCTGACAGACACACACGCTGCGAAAGCTCAGCTCTTAGCCTGAGAATAAAACCACAAACACGAGAATCAAAATTCCTGAAAGAAACTGGAAAAGCTTAAACCAGGGACTGAAGCCGAGTTCATTACATGGAACCTTTTCACACTTTAACACTTGTCTGACTCTAACCATTTGTTTCAGTCCGCACAGTCAGAGGTTACGATCCCAGGCCCCGAGTCAGATTGTGACAACTTCAGTGTGGAGTTTGAAGTGGAGTCCATCGATTCAGATGATTACAACGAGGATGATGCATCGGTGTCAGCTGATGATCAGGTGAAGCATTTGATTCGCATTTTTCTCAACTGGCACCACCTGAGGCTGAGAACGAAATGTAAAACAAAAACGTTATAAACATTAAACATTACTATAATAGAATGAATACCTGTTTGAGGGGTGTGCCAAAATATCGATACTACGATATGTCACAAAATGATGTCTTGTGGTACGTTACGATATTTAAACAATAAACATACACTCATTTTAAACAGACTTTCTCACAAAAACTTAAACTAATTTTTCAAGCCTTCACATGATGGCGCTAAGCTAATTCTACATGAATGACTCATTCATGAGAGTATGTGATAGTATGGTATCACGAGGTAGTTGCTGATATGCAGCCCTGACCTCTACTATGTTATGTATGTTATTTAACATATATAATGACATATTTAATGTCGTTTGTTGTTTGTCAGGTTTATGAAGTTACCATCTTTGAGGCCGATGATGAAGACGACTCCTTTGATGAAGACACAGAGATCACCGAAGCCGTGAGTTTACACACTCAAAAAACGCACACATATTCACCATTGTCATTATGTTGATGGTTATTTATGCTAAATATGTTTGTTTGTTTATTTGGTTTCTTTTTAGGATTACTGGAGGTGTGTAAAGTGCGACGAACTAAATCCTCCTCTTCCCAGAAACTGTCTGCGCTGCTGGACTCTGAGGCGGGATTGGCTGCCAGAAGAGTCCAGGGGTTTGGATAACACCTCCCCTTACTGGCATAAAGCCCTGCCCACAAAGCCATCCAGCCAATCAGCAGCCAAAGAAGCTGCAGGTATTTGCATCTCCAGTTGTTTGTGTGTGGTCAAATTAGCAGCAGCAGTTTTTTGGGCTTCTTCGCTTCTGACCAAACACCACCATCTAGTGGTCAAGAGTTAGAATTTTAGGCTTTATTTTTTCCTTTCTCAGAAGCTTATGACGTGGAGGAACATGAAGGAATGGACGTTCCAGATGGAAAAAGAGCAAAAACTCCTTCATCACAGCACCTCTCAGACTCCAACCCCTCCTCAGCTCCCTGCTCCCAGGATCTCCTCTGCTCCTCTCAGCCCTCCTCGTCCTCTTACTCCTCCTCCTTTGACTCCCAGGAGCTGCTCCAGTTGTCGAACACCACGTCGCCTCAGCCTTCAACTCCAGCCTCCAGCACCAGCGTTCCAGAGCTGGAGCGCAGCTCGTCAGCAGAATGGCGACTCCCGGACTCCTGTCTGGACCCGTGTCTCATCTGTCAGTCCAGGCCGAAGAACGGCTGCATCGTCCACGGACGAACGGGTCACCTGATGTCCTGCTACGTCTGCGCCAGGAAGCTAAAGAAGAGAAACAAGCTGTGCCCGGTCTGCAGGCTGCCCATTCAGTCTGTGGTCCTCACCTACATCAGCTGAGCACACTCTCACCTGTTGTACGTTCAGATCTACCTCAGCTGAGACCCTTCCCCTCCACCACTGTTCTGGTCTGCGTTCTGTCCTCGCCTACCTCAGCTGAAAGGACACCTTTACCCCACGTCTGTTCTCACCATTAGGTCTCTTCCACTTTAGGCACTTAATGTCACGCAGGTTTAAGACACAGTTCAAGGCTTTTCACAAGACAATGTTATTTTTGTTTTATTTTAGGGGAACTGATTAGAAGTTAGAAAATAAGGTTCGGTGTTTATCGTCCTTATCAGCTGAACCTTCTGTTCTGTTGAGTTTGATCTAAGACTCCACCATTTAAACCACCAAGTTAAATCAATTTTCTGTCACCACGACACAATCTGGTCAATAAATAAAGGGCCATTAAAAGTTTTCCATGTTCACAATTATTTTTTTACACTTTAATAAACAACCAAATAATTAAGAAAAGTGTAAATAATTGAAGGGTATGTCAACTACTCTGTTATACAAACCAAATTTGATTAATATTAATATATTTTTAACTTTTCTCGTTAATGTGCCAACAACAAACATAATTTTTTATAGTAAACTCTAAACTGATTATCCGATTTATTGATTTCTAGAAATAATAGTGTGCTTTCATATTAATTTTAAAAAATATATATTTTTCAGAAATTGTGACAGAATTTAATTTATAACCTGACGTTTTCATCACTAAAAAAACAAACTGCAAGAACAACTCCGCATTTGATAATTCTATTAATTTTTAAATTAAATAATGGATTAGTTAATCACATTTTTTCTAATCTCTGAAATGTTTATACTCTATCAGAAAAAAACTATTTACAAGGAAATTTTTATTCCATTTTACTTCTAAGTCCATCAGTGATCTGAGTTCACGGAGACGCAGCACTTCCTGTGTCTGAAATCGCCAATTTCCCTCTCTGGACTTTAGTCTGTTCATCTTCTATCGGCTAATGCTTTCTTTGAAAGTTTCTTGGAAAGAAAATATGAAGTGTGAGACTCGCAGATTTATTTAAAGCAATATTGAAATTTTTATTTGCCACATTTCACTGACATGTTAAAGTTCTAGTGCACTGACTTTTATATTGGTTAATATTTCCGAGTGCACTGGTGAATTTTTTTCTGTTGTCGTGTAATTATTACAGAATTATTCTTTCCAGGAAACTTTGGAACAATTGAAATATTTATTTGTTTATTTAAGATGCTTCTGGAATGTTATTTAAACAGAACATTTTCTATGAGCTTTATGAATAACAAAAGAATTCTATTAGGATCGTAAATGTCCTGTCCATATTTTCTGTGATTGAATAAAGTCTGACTTGTTCTATCACAAGTCTTCTTGTTTGTTTGACGTCGACACACAGAATAAATATGATTTAGGAGACTTGGTTAGATTTAATTCGATTATATATTTAGAAATCTTTACTTTATTTTCCTGTAATGTAATTAGATAAAACTCACCCACGTGGCTCCACAGCTCCTGGCTCCCTTTCTTAGATACAGGACTCGTCGGTAACTGAGAAAACAAATTAGGCAGCACAAAAAAATGACAATAATATTGTACAAATAAATTAGTTACGTTAATGGCATGTGCAACGTTAGAGAGCTAGTCAAGAATATTTGGAAAGATGTAAACAAAACACATTTTAAAAATATTTTGACATTGGTTTGAAATTTATTTCCAACATTTCTGAAGAGTCTATGTGCACTTAATCTGCAAGAGGCATTTCCTGCTCTGACGTCGTGCACAGAAAAATATAGAGAAATGCAGCAACGTCAATGCAGGGTGTATTACAAACGAAAATAAATCATACATGGTTTAAAAAAAAAAAATCACAGAAAGAGAAAGTCACTTTTTAAGTGGGTTTTTGGTTGCTTCGGTCACATGATCAAGCAGTTGTGATGTCATGATTGTTCACAGGAAGTAAAAACACACAAGTGGTGCGAAGTCAGTTCGTAAAAATTCATAAATCTAATCTCGTAAAAAATAATGCAGAGCTTCAAATTAAAGCTTCTACATCATAAAACTAAAATTTGGCGGCGTATAGAATTATAAATACTGTGGTAAAAAAAAAAAATAGAACTGATATTTTTGTTTAGGGTTTAGCTTAACTCATCGTACCCTGAATTCATTTTCAAGGCCAAACCAGAAATCCTGATTGACCAGTGGTCTGTACCGTGGTTGGTTTTTATTGGTTGATTATTTCTAAATACAACAGCTGACTTAATGTCTGCAGTTGAGACGAATTCAATTAAACTTTTGTTTTCTTCCAGAAAAAAAGTCTTAAAATGTCCCAACGTTGTGCAACTCCGACGTCAAAAAAGGCTAAAATGCTAAGCAAACTATCTTTACTTCAACAGTTTTTCTTTAACAACAAAAATTCTTCTTTCATCGTTCCTTATTCATCCATCTAACTCGAGCCAAACTGAGAGAAACAAATGTTGTCCTCCTTGGTCTAAAGGTTACACAAACAATACGTCCCCTAGTGGATAATAAAAAAATAACTTTTCAGGGTTATCTTCTTTCCCGTAAGTTCTTGTACGCAGCCGTCTAGTGCTCGTCATAAGAAGTGAAGCCCATGATCGTACAATTGTGCAGCTCTCTTGACTTTAGCTTAACACTCAAGTCCTTTGACTCCTCCCTCTTCAGTACTTATATGGTCACCAGCTTCCACTTAGCTCCGCCCACTGCAGTCCTTACACTTATGGCAGTCCGATAAACTCCCTCTATGCGAGTCTTTGAGTTTTGTAACAACAAAGTCCTGTGATTTGTGGCAAAATAAGCTCCTCCTTCTCCCCGTGACTGCAGCACCCTCCTTCAAGTTAGGTGTCAAAGGTCAGTGACCTTGTTCTCCAGGGCAGCAGCAATCTGTTGGAGCCGAAGGGTCAGCTGTTTGTTTTGAGCTGCTGGGTCTTCGTCCAGCGACTGGATGATCTGTAAAGGGACAATCACCCATTTTTTAAATCTGCATATGATGTTTATAAGAAACATTGGCACATAATCTGTTAGCGCCCCCTACCAGACACCTGGTAGTATTGATAGTAAATGCTGTTTTCTTACCACATCGTAGTACTTGCTGGCGTACTGGTAGAGCTGATGTAAGGCCACCTGAGTGTTCAGCTTTTCTGTGTGTTGCTGTGCAAACAAGACAAAGGATTTAAGAAATGTACAGGTGTTCAACCAAGAACCAAAACTAGGGATGTCCGATAACATGGGCCGACCGACATTCCCAGCAAAATATTAGCATAATTATGTAATATCTGTAAGAATTGTTAACATTTTTTTCTCTGATAATGAAAACCTGATAACACCTGGGTTTTGACAAATGATGTGTGCCCTAAAAATAGTTTTTGGGAAAAACAACTGTATATGAAAGTGTAAGCCACTAGATGGCAGCATTGCAACACATTTTATTAATCTTTTAATATTAATATCAATATTAATATTTTAATAATCAGGGGATTGTAGGCAGAATGCTGCTGATAGTAACTTATACAGTGGTTTGTACAACACTGTTTTAACCCATCACCTCAGTGAGCAGGCAGCACTTAACTTCCTTAACCACTAGGCCACCACTGACCCGCTATATTGGTATCGGTCTATATCGGAATTGAAAATTGAGTGTTTGGACAATATCGGATATCGGCAAAAAGTTAATATCGAGCATCCCTAACCAAATCATATTAAAAAAAGTGATGCCATTTTATGAGACCTCTAATAATTAATGTGGTGAAAAACATGCCGAGAGTTTTCATGTCGTACCCTTGAAACCTCAGCGAGGTGCGTATTCATGTCCTGATCGCTGACGGAAACCATCTGTCGGATTCCACTTAAATAGCTGACAAAAAACAAACACACAAACTGTTAGCTCAGGAAAATCTTTTGGTCAGAAAGTAAATAACGAAAATAACATGTTGTTTGAACAATGGAATATTCCCCGGAGGAAGGAACATTTCACGGGCTTCAACTCACTCGTCCACCATCTTCTTATAAGTGGAAATCTCTTTTGCGTAGAGCAGTTTGTTGCTGGGAGATTCCTACGGTTAGACGGAGACAAAAACAGTTTAAGGTCATGACATGATTGGGCAATTTCCCTTTGATGAAGCAGCTCTGGGGCGTGACTGACGATTTTTTATTAAAAAATAAATAAATAAACGAAAACACTTTGCCACTTAACTCGCCTCATTGGTGACAAGTGGGAATGAGGCGAGTTATGCGATAACTGACTTTTCTGACATTTTACCAAAGGGAAAATAAAAATAGAGTTGAGTCGGGGAAGAGATAAGACAGAATTATGTGGAAATTCTTAAACGCACAAGACTCAAACTCTCTGTAATGCCCCCTAGTGGCTCAGCAGCTGAATTGCTATAGTCGTGACACTTTTCAAGCACAGAATAAAATCATTAGCAGTGAACTCACTCTGCTGAGTTTGTGCTCTGTTTTGGTGCAGGCGTCCATGAACGTTTGCGAGAGGACGTGCAGTGAAGCGTCCACCACCTCAGTGGCGTGGATGTCGAAGATGAAGTGTGGGTTCCTCAGGATGTTCACCCAGAAACGCATCAGCAGACTGAGGATGGAAGGTTATAGAATTAGCCTTTTTTTTTACAGTTGATGGATAAAAGAGCTGTTTCACTACAGCGACTTGGCAGTTGTTGACTTGTTGTTTTTAACCTATTTGTCTTCCAGATGTGCAACGTCTCCTCGTCCACGTTGTCATGCCTGAGCGCTTGTTCGTCCAAAAAGTCAAAGAAATATTTCACGGCAGGAGGAACGACGGAGCTTGAACACAACACGCAGCGGAAGAAGTCGTCCACAAATTGCTGCAATGTGCCCTGCGTAAAAAAAACAAAACAATGTTAGTCAAGAGACTGAACAGGAGGGGGCGACACATGAAGTTATTTCACTCATTACAAAAATCCGTCTGTTGCTTGATGACAGATATCGTTGCGGGGGATTTTGTGTGACAGCGTCATCTGCATAGAATGTTACTTCTCTAGATTAGGCAATTACAGGTATTTAAGAGATCCATTTTCTTGCTCCGGCAGTTACCCTCATTTTTATAAACACTTCGTTGTGAAAGAACACTGTACGTTTGCGAGTTGCCCATGTCGAGGTAAATGATGTTAGGAAATAAAGGAAAATGATGTTGTTACCTTGACAGCGAGCAGTCTGGTCAGGTAAATCTCTGTGATGGCTTTGGTCATGGCCTTGTCCTTCATGCTGCCTCTCTTGGACTTACTTACTTCGTCCATCTCATCCGTAGGCCGGACCATGTGGAAAGTGTTGTCGTCCTCCAGGAGAGCACTTCCTGTGCGACACAAACAGAGAGAACTCAAACTCAAAAATACCATGTCTGAGGTGACTCTGATTAGTGCAGGGTAAACCTGTGTGTGTTTACGAGTAGTTTAAATGCACATACTCTCTTCATGACTGTCCTGGTGTTGGTGAAATGATTGTGTGTGCAATACTCTGGAGAGGACCAAGGTGGCGTTGTCTCGAACCTAAAAAACAAGGAACATCACTCAGGACCAAAAAAGCAATGCTTTATAATGAAAATATATTTTTTTAAAAGTTGAAACAAAAGTATTTTCAGTTATGAGAAAACAAAAATCCAGATAAATGATAAGACTTACATTATAATGAGCCAGCGTGTTCAATCTTTTCCATCGTCCTTCCTTCTGTGATGTCAGATCCAGGTCAGACAAGATCTGACCTGTGGAGCCAGGGCGCCACTCTAAGGTCATATGAGGAAGTGAGCATTAATGTGAATTTTCACTACTGCCCCCCCGTGGTCAGTTTGTGCTATAAAGATTAATGATTTTAAACAGTGAAGTAAAAAAAACTATAAAGATTAATGATTTTAAACAGTGACCTTAAAACAAACAATGGCTGCCAAAAGATAAAAACATTTTAATCTGAATAATCACACAATGACAATTATGATTAGTCACAATTAATTATGATCAAGATTAATTGAGATTAATCACGATTAATTCTGATTAATCAAATAATGATTAATAAAAATATGTGACTTTCAAACTTTTACTTATTATTATTATTTGTTGTTGTTGTTGTTGTGTTGTTGTTGTCTTACCCAGTGCAACAGTCTCCACCTTTGGTCTCTGTGAGTATGGTAGGTTTCTATAAACCTGATCGATGACCCTGGAACAGAATTTTTTATTTTTAAACATAAAGTACCGCTGTACACATTTCTTTTTTTATATAGCATTATATCGAACTTTCAAAAAATATTGAAAGAAAGAAATATCACATAACAAGGTTGTTAAAATATGATATACGTTAAGCTCTGTTTTTAGCCAAGACTATAACTGTAAAAAAAATGACCATATTCTACTGTCTAGCAGGGGTTCTCAATCCCAGGTCCACGGACCAGTACTGGTCCATAGGTCATTTGTTACCGGGCCGATGAAAAGTGTACTTTTATTTACTAATTTAATTCATGTAAAGAGAATTCATATCCATTTAATTTCCTCGTTCAAAGATAATCTAGCATTATTTCAAAATAATGTAGTAATGTAGTAATCTAAAAAGTCGACCCAACAATAATGATAATAATAAAAACAACTTGTAGGATTTCAACTACACAACAAACAAACATCATCGTCATCAACATCGTCAGTCAGACTGACCTGAGTGATGGTGTCACAGTTCAACACTTTGACTGGAGTCACATCTTGACCTTCACCATGAACCAAGACTTGCAGTGTCTGAAAAACACACACACAGATATTAGCATTTTAACATCAGTTTTCATTTCAATTCTGGATACTAGTTAAACCCAAACTGAGGCTCAGTACCAGGACAGTATATTCCACATCATCTCCCAGGAGTCCAGTGTCGTTCAGAGTGTATTTGGCTTTTTTCAGTTTGGCGTCCACCGGACCCTTTTCCACCTGGTGCTTCAGAGCTTTGAAGAGTTTATACAGAGGCTCTCCAGCAGTATCCTGGTGGGGGGGGGCACAGACACACACAGAACTGATTCCCACTCTGAAACTGACTCTTTAGCCAAGGCTTTATTAGATTAAATACAGATTACAGATTTAACGAGAAAATGTTTTAGTTTTAGGTGGAAACAAACATATCACAACGATTTCTATTACGAACGTTTCAGAACCAGCCCAGAGAGAACTTTAAATGAATAAATGAAAAGATGATTTTTTTACCTTAAGGAACTGATAGAGACAGATGGACATCCAGTTACACAACATCCTCTCTACCACCGTCTCTGACCTGGACAGGAAACAATAAGATTGATCACCAGAGCCATTGATTCTGGATAAAAAGTTCAATCATCACTAGTTGATTCAAAAAACTGTAATACAGCTTATACTTTATCGATGTTAGTTCTTGCATTGTAACAACACAGACAAAATGATCCTATTAAACCACTGCCAAAAAAAACAAACATATTTTTGCATTATTTTCTTGACATATTTTTTATACATCTACCTGATGTTAAATGTCCTTTTGTTACAGCAACATATAGAAAAACATAACGATTGATCATGATGAATCGTTAAAATGGTTTTGATTCTGATGAATCTTGATTAATCATTACATTTTTTTGACTTTGATTAATCATGATATGTTTAATCAAATTAATTACAGGGTTGTTGTTGTGGATTATTACAATGTCACAATTAACATTAATTAATAATAGAATAATTAATAATGATATCATGAAGCCATGTAATTGATAATGTAATTAATCTGATTAAGTGTTTTTCATCTTTGTCGATTGCCCTAACAATGATAAAGAAGTTGCAGTAACTCGGCTTTTCATTAGTCTACTCCACACTGACAATCTACCATGTTCCCCACGGAGAAGATGATTGGACGACACAGTTCGAGAACCTTCATAAAAACTGCTCCTGCTGTTTCTCACTAACCTTCTCAGCATCAGTTTCGGGTTCTTGCTCTGCACGTGTTCGTCCATCAGCTCCAGCAACAGCGTCCTCATGATGTCGGTGTAGTACTCCAGCTTTCCATGCAGCGCCACCGTCAGGAGAGAGGCAAAATAACCCCTGGAGCGATTATTGAAGTCGGGGCGACTCTCCAGAGTGTGGATGAACTGCAGGTGGACACAGACATGGTTTCACTGGTGGAAGAAATCAAACTGTTTGAAATAATGAGTCCTCGATGTCCTACATTGATGAGGAAAGTCTTGCTGTTGAGCAAGTTGGAGAACTGATTCAGAGCCTGGGCCACGATGGCTTTGCGACCTTCTGGGATCTCGACTTTCCCTGTGATCATGGTGTCGTTGGTGCCGTCTTTGGAGGGCAGGAAGAAATTCCTGTCAGTGTAGGTCTGATAGTCCAGAAAAGGGATCCTGGCCTCGCTCAGGTCATTGGTGGCGTCCTCCATCTCTATCATCAGGTCTGATGTGGAGAAACACGACAAAATAAAAATTTTAAAAAAGGAGGCTGGAATGGAGATGAGTATGAACATCTGAGAATGTATTTCACAACCCTGAACACAAATAACTGAAACTAACTGAAAATTGTTTGAGGACAAAGTTAAACCTAAATAACACAACATTTCCTGAAGATTTAAAAAGGTTTAAATTACTTAAAAATATTAAAATATTATGACACGAAAACAAGCTACAAGAAACTTGGGTGTCTTGGGTGGTCACATAAGGTCGCGACCCCATGTGTCGCCTGAAATGTCTAGTGATCAGAGATGTCCGATAATAACTTTTTGCTAATATCCAATATTGTCCAAACACTTCATTTCTGAATAAAAAAAAGTTAGCAAAACATAATTAAAAAACCAAAACTTTTTCAGAAAATCAATAACTTAGAGTGGGGATGTCAAACATACGGCCCGGGGCCCAAAACCGGCCCGCTAGGGAGTTCAATCCGGCCCTCTTGATGAATTTTATAAGCAAAAAAATGCACAAATACGTCACGTTCATGCTGCTTTGCTAAATTATATTTCATTAAATATGACTATTTTCTAATGTATTTTTAGTATATTGTTATTTATAGGCAATTCTGTTATACTGGTAACTGAAAAGAAAGAAATGACGGATTATATAACAAAGCTATTTCCAGTGGTACCTGTGAATTCTTTCTTGCATCGATCTCTGACACTTTCCTCCAGATTCTCCAGCTGATGTTTGACCTTCTCATACTCTCGCTCAGCCTGTTGACTCTTCCTCCTGTTTATGTTTGAAACATGCACGGACATATAAACAAAAAAGCGCTTTTTCCCCCTGTTTCTTTCTTGAACTCTGATTTCATTTTGTCGCACCTGTAGCAGTAGATGGACAGAGCGATGAAGAGCAGCATCGGTACGACGACGGCGGGGATGATGATGTGCAGAGGAATATCCGAAAACTTTGGCTCGTAGTAAACTGAATCCACCAACCACTCACCGTGACCGAACTTCACCTGGAAACAGATTTCAACCCATAGTTTTAGGTGCAAAAACAAATGATTTTTTGGTAGAAAATATTTGAGACCATATTAGTACATTTAAAAATTTTAAACTTTCAAATTATTCTACAAAAACCAAAAGGTGAAGTTAAATATATTTAGAATTCCAACAATACAAAACATGAGATTACAGCAGTTCAACCAAGAAGTAATTCATTTGTCACAATATCTTTTGTCATTTTGTGACTTTACTATTGGGAATTCTTTGTTCAGATTGACCTCACTGACACAAACTGACCACAGGAGGCAGCAGTAGCAATGCTTTTCTATAAAGAGAAAGAGTAAGTCATTTTTATAAAACTTCAGTTTCTCATAGCAGGAGTAGCAGAGGTCTTCCTGGTCTCATTTCTTTTGTCTGTTTTTACCACAAGATCTAGCGGGTTGTTGTTGGTGTCTCTACGCTGCCGTTTGGATCGAGCGCTGGGCTTCGACGATGGTGCATCCAGAATCAACTTGTCGTCCTGTGAATGTAGTTAAGAGATAAAGAAGAGAAAAAAGAAGGGTTTCATTTAGGGATGTCCCACATAAACTTAACCATATAAACCTGGAAATATTTATTTATTTATCTGTACAAACCCCTGTGTGAGTTCCCCTGATTAATAAAAAAGAATAACAAAACGAACTGCAGTGCTGCCATCTAGTGACTTTCACTTTCAAGTACAGCCGTTTTCCCCCAAAACTATTTTTAGGGCAGACATCACTTGGTGAAATCCAAGCCTTGTGTTATCGAGTTTTCAATATCGGAGGAAAAACCGATAAAGATTCTTACAGATATTACATAATTACGCTAATATTGGGCCGATATTATTGGACATCCCAAGTTCAATTACAACTTTGGAAAACACAAACTCGTGTTTCTGTAATATGATTCTTCCTGCGTGTGCTCACCTGCAGTATGTTCACGGTGCAGGAAGCGTCACCAACAAACGCCTTCGCCTCTTTGGCCGTCGTGGCCTTGGAAAAACCTCGGCCCTGTAAGAAGCAGGAAAAAAATGAATAATCATTTCTCAGAACATTGTTACCATAAACAATCTAATGAAGAAAAATATTATCAGTCACCGTCACAATGATGACACTGGTCTCTGTGATTTTGTTATTGGCCAGTTTATTGAAGACGGGGTCAGGGTGGTAGTCGAAGTTCTTCAGCTCCTCCATGACGTTGTCCAGCTGCACCACGGTCCTCAGGGACTGAGTGTCCATGGTGCTGTTGACTGGCGGCGAGTAGAACTGCAGCATGGTGTCGTTCTTGCTCAAAGACTCCTGCACAAACTGAAGGATCGAGGGGCGGTGGGTGAGGGGGAGACAAGTTGAGACCACAGGACGGAGAGGTAGTCCAGAAAAGACTGTGTGTTGTCCACAGTCCAGTTCAGTTTATAAATTCCGTCATGCATGCAAAATTGTCGAGAAAAGTTTAAGAAATGTTGTAAAAGAAAAAAAAAAAAGCAAAACTCTTAAAATAATAACTGCAGTTAAATTATACTAAAGAGGTAAAAGAAAACAGCAAAGTTAAAACTGGACGGACACGCCCACACTCACCTCATCAGAATCAGTGGCCTCTGAAAACTCGTCTGATAAAGGGAGCACTTTGATGCTGGCTCTTTGGATCAGATCAAAACCACTTCCTTGCACCATAATCGTTCGACCGCCACTGAACACAAAACACAGCAGGTTAAAAAAAAAAAAACGGCCTTTTTTCAGTGTGAATTTCAAAAGATTTTTTTTTTGTTTTAGCTAATATTTTTACGTTTTATTACTTTTGAAAATTTTTAAAACCGGTAATTTTACATTTATTTTATATTAATATTGTGTAATAATTTTTAGTTTTTTTTATAGTTATTTTTAGGTTTATTTTGCTACACACACACATATATATATATATATATTTTTTTTTTTTTTCTGCTGCATACAATGCCTGCTATTCCGGTTGCAATACAAGCCAATAACAAATAAAGTAAGTCTAGGTCTAAGGTCTATGGTCTAAATGGAATCTCAAGAAGAGAAAAAAAAAGGTTTAATTTGAGTTTTTTACCCTTGTTAATACTTATGATGAATCCATATGCAGAAGATACTGTGATATATGTTTCCAAAATCCAAATGACATTGCGTTGTAATATTAACCTTTTGCTAATATCCCATACGATAACGATATTGTTCTAACACCTTATTTCCTATTACAATATCAACTGATACCAATATATGGAACATATTGGTATCAGTTGATATCGCTTACCCCCAAAACTGCAGTAAACGTCTCATTACCCCAGATAATGAGACAGTATATATGCTAATACGCCAATAAAAAACTGAATGAAAAATGAAATCAATGTAAAGAGATTCTGGTTCTCTCTCTCTCTATGTTCGTCTGCAGTTTGTCGATGCGTATAAAAGAGAAAAAT